TCCATCTACTTACAGATACATTCATGCTAAATTTATTGAGCATTTCGTATATGACAAGCAGTTCCAGAGTCAGTAATAGAAAACAACACAAAATGTCTGTATGCACGGTTTCTGCAGTCTAGTGCAGGAAAAATGACACGAGACAAGAACATCAGTAAAAAATAACAGTATGTGCTATCACATAGGTTTGTACAAACTGCCAACCAAGCAAAAAGGACAGGCCAATGGTAAGCAAGGACCAGTTTAGGAAAATTGATATTTACAGGCTACATTTTTCTTCACTCAAAATGAAACTCTTTATTGAGAAACACAGAAAAATAGAAAAATGTTTAATTGAGAAAGACAGCATTTTTAATTTCTAAATTTTAGTTGTAAAATATTTTGGTATATTTAAAATATAGCAACATAAAGGCAGGTTTTAAATCTTTTAACCCAGTCTTTTACCCCTGACATTTCTATAACACTTTAGATTTCAATATGTGTTTACATGCAGTCTTTCCTTCGAAATGTCCCCTTTTGATAGGTATTATTTATTATATAAAGATGAGGAAATGGAGATTCAGAGAAGTAACTTGTTCAAGACCACACACTAATAAACTGGCCAGGTCAAAACTGAACTCGTATCGATCTTCACTTCCAATTCCATTATTGTCTCAACTAAAGTAAAATGCCTTTTAAAAGATAGGCAGCACAACACTGTACAATTTTTATTGTATGTAAAATATGCTTTAACCACTATCTCTGGATGTCTGATAGTGGAATGCCTTGAAATGAAAATTTTGCCAAACTGTTTAATGAATTACCAAATTAAGTAGATTATTTTACGAAAAGACAAAGGCTAAATCTATGAATTAGTAGTTAGTAGAAAAAAGGGAAAATAAAATATAGATGAATTGATCAAGCAATGAATGAAATTATGACATAAGATCATATAACTAAAAAATGAACAAATTACTATGGTTGAATTTACATTTTTAAAACGTATATTATTTTTCTTTCCTATCATACTTACATCTCTGTGCCCACTGCTAGCAGAATCGTGGAGTGGAGTGTCATCATCTAAACCTTGTGTATTAACATCTGCTCCAGCTGCTATAAGTATCTTAGCAACATCATAATATCCAACATTGCAAGCTTCATGCAGTGGTGTCCAACCTAAAGTTAGAATATTAATTTAACATATGATTCACTTGCACTAATTCAAGATACATGCTTTTCACATTGATACCTATGTGTGACATATGAATTCTAAATTGCACATGGCACAAAAGGAAAAAGGAGTTAAGCAGCAGCTACTGCAAATAAATACCTAAGAACACCACCACCGTTACTGAAGGTTCATTCAAGATAACATTACAGTTGACTCTTGAACAACATCAGGGTTAGGGATGCCAACCTCCATACAGTCAAAAATCCACATAAAACTTTTGACTTACCCAAAACTTAACTATTAATAGCTTACTGTTGACTGGAAGCCTGACCAATAACAGTCGATTAACACATATCTTGTATGTTGTATGTATCATACTATATTCTTACAATAAAGCGAGCTAGAGAAAATAAAATGTTACTAAGAAAATTACAGGAAACAGAAAATATATTTACTATTCATTAAGTGGAAGTGGATTACCATAAAGGTCTTCATCCCTGACATTTTCACACTGAGTAGGCTGAGGAGGAGGAGGGAGAGGAAGGGTTGGTCCTACTGTCTCAGGAGCAGCAGAGGTGGAAGAGGTGAAGGAGTTAGAAGGAGAGGCAGGAGAGACAGGCACACGTGGTATAACTTTATGGAAATACATGATAATTTCTCATTTTTTTGCTTTTTCATTTCTCTAAAAATGTTTATGTTTCTATATGGCACCAATCCTTCTTCCACCATTTGCCTTAGTTTCAGTGCCCGTATCATAGAAGAGTCCATAGTCATTAAAAAAAAAAAAAAAGTAAAAACAGTTATGAGTAATTGGAAGCCCTCTGCAGACTGTCTAATATCAACTTGTTTTCTGGCACTGCTTCTTCTAATTCTTCTTCCTCATTGCCTGATGATGGTTCAGAAGCACTCATCTCCATCAAGTCATCTTCTATCATCTCTGTTTTGGTGTCTATTAACTCTTGAATTTCTTGAAACCCTTCACCCACCACTTTTGCCATATCCATAATCTCTTTCATGATCTCCTTGACTGGCCCTGTGGTAAATCCCATGAAGTCATAAACAACATCCGATACAGTTTTCTCCAGCAGGAATTTATTATTTGGGGCTTGATGGCTTTTGCAGCTTGTTTTTTGTTTTTCAGACAGGGTGTCACTCTGTTGCCCGGGCTAGAGTGTTTGGCATTATCATAGCTCATTGCAAACTCAAACTTCTGTGCTCAAGCAATCCTCCTGCCTTAGACTCCCGAGTAGCTGGGACTATAGGTACACATCACCACGCCTGGCTAATTTTTCTATTTTTTGTAGAGCTGGTGTCTCGCTCTTGCTCAGGCTGGTTTCAAATTTCTGGCCTCAAGCAATCCTCCTGCCTTGGCCTCCCAAAGTGCTAGGATTACAGGCATGAGCCACCATGCCTGGCCTTTCACAGCTTTTTCTATTACAATGATGCCATCTTTCCAATGGTATAATCCTTTAGACTTTCATAAGGTTCTATCAGGGTTCTCTTCTGTAGTGTTGATAATCCTTTCCATGGAGTACCATGTACAATGAGCCTTAAAGGTCTTTGTGACTCCCTGATCTAGAGGCTAATTTAGAGACATTTTGTTTGGGGGCAAGTAGACTACTTGGAGGCCTTTGAACTCCTGAGGTTCTGGAGAGCCAGGAGCATTGTCTAATATCAAAAGAACTTTAAAAAGCAGTTCCTTATTAGCAAAGTACTTTCTGACATCAGGGACAAAGCAATGATGGAACCAATCCAGAATAATGGTTCTGGTCCAGGCCTTCTTGACTGATCCTGGTGTTTACCCTGTCCCGTAAAAGCTCAGGAGTTAGTAGCTTTATAGATAGGGGCAGTCTTGATCATAAACTTGACTGCATTTGCACAAAGTAGAATTAGCCTATATATACCTTACTGTCCTAAATCCTGGTGCTCATTTCTCTTCCTTACTAATAAATATTCTCTGTGGAATATTTCTCCAGAATAGGGCACTTTCATCTACATTAAAAACCTGTTCAGGCAGATATCCTTTCTACTCAAATTTTGATAAATTTTAACTTTTTCTATGACATTTGTGTATATTTTCTGGTAGTAAATGATAAAATAGGCTAGTATCTACATATATGCATTCGTGATATACCTTTTTCTTAATTTTTTAATATTTCTAGGCTACACAGTTTATGAGTTTTTAAAAATTATTGCAAAT